TTTTTTTTTTTTTTTTTTTTCCTGTAGGCAGCTGCTGTGACAAACTTCCGTAGAGATTGGCAAGCAGGAGATATGAAAGTGCATAAAGCCAGGGTATCACAAAATCTGGCATTCGCTAAGATAAAAACCCCAGAGTGGACATCATGTCTGCTGCGTCGCAAGGCCCTGCACAATTGGCAGGAAAGCAACATTCGAATTCGCACCTGCTGCCATCAGCCGAGAGGCGACCTCCAACGCCGGTGCCCTCAGCGACGGCTGCTGCTGCAACTCCGAGAGCACAGCTTCGCCATCAACGAAGCGGCCCAGCAAGGCAACGTCAGTGTCGTCCAACTCTTTCGCATCTTGTGAAAAAACTCCAGACTGGATGTCCGTGGCGAGGTCCTCAAGGGAGGCCTCAAAAATGGAAGGCATCGCGTCCGGAGGGGCGCCAGAAACCTGCAGCTGCTCCGGACCGGGCTCGGTCACATGCGAACTCACCTTCTTCTTATTCTTCTTGCGCCGATTCTTCTTCTTCCTCATCGGGGCCACCTCCGTAGCGCCAGCAGCCAGCGAGGGTACAGAAGAAGACGAGGAAATATCAGCCCACTCGTGATGGACACCGCCACTATGGGCTGACATGTCCAGGACACCGCCACTCTGGGCTGACGTGCCTACACCGAAAGGCGACTCCGAGGCACCGCCACTGACGGCTGACGTGCCAGAGCCGTCAAACGTGACACCGCCACTAAGGGCTGACATGTCGGGGGCTGCACCTTCACCACCTGCATCGGGAACGGACCCGTCGCCGATGTAGAAGGTCTTCACCTCCGAGGTGGCGTCCGTGGGATCCTCGTTCCTGCTGGCGGAGTCGGAGGTGACGGCGGCGTGGCCGGAGCAGGCGGCGAAGGAGGCCACCACCCCATCGCCAAAGCTGCGATTTCCGTCCTGTCCGGCTCCTGACCAGTGGGCATGTCCTCCGTCATGCGCTTGAGGATGCGCTTGTAGTCGCTCAACATGTGTTTGCGACGCCTCTTCTTGGGCGCCGGTGGAAAGGTAGTGCTCGTAGCGGTACCCTGCTCCGCCGAAGAACTCGCCGCATCCGCCGCCATGGCCCTGGGAGGCGAGACCGCCTGCACCGTAGCCACCGGACTGGGATACGATCTGAAGTCCCCAGGCGGGGGGGAAAAGGGCGAGATCACCGGAACCTCCACCTGCGGCTTCACCTGCTTGTCGGACTGCACCTCCGAAACCCTCTGCGCCTCCACAGCGAGGCGCAGGCGCTCCCAACGCGGGAGCTGCTTCACCGGCGCCTGCTCGAGCTGCTCCACCTCCGCGGGCTGCCGGCAGCCATGTGCCGGGGGCGGCGGCGGCGGCGGGTGGCAGAACCGGCGCTGCGAGTCCGCCATCGAGAAGAACAACGTCTAGTGAGCCGAAATGCGCTGCAAACGCTGCAACGCGCGCCCCGAGGTCGCCGTTGACGAGGTGCGCTGGCACGAAGATGCGCAACTCGGGATCCCTTGATACCATGCACCGGTATCCCCCAGCGTTCACTGCCGCACACCTGGCGGAAGCGCTCAAGCCAGCAGCACAATGGCCATCAGCCCTGGGGAAGGCGCGAGCCGGCAAGGATCCTGAGGAGGAGGAGGAGGAGGAGGAGGAGGAGGAGGAGGAGGAGGAGGAGGAGGAGGAGGAGGGGGAGGAGGAGGAGGAGGAGGAGGAGGAGGGGGAGGAGGAGGAGGGAGGAGGAGGAGGAGGAGGAGGAGGAGGAGGAAGAGGAGGAAGAGGAGGAGGAGGAGGAGGAGGAGGAGCAACGCGGGAGTGGCAGGTGCTGCTGGAGTCCCTCGACGCCGACGCCCCGCCGCTGGCCTCCGTCGCGCCGGCGCGCGGCCGGCTCTTCCTGTTCCCGCACGACTGCCCGCACAAGGCTGCGCGAGCCGCCGCCGCCGCGTTCCGCACCTCCGCTCAGAGGAGGGAAAGGCACCCATACCTCGACCCCCTCGCCTGTTTTCCCCCCTTTTGGGCCTCCTGGGAGGCCCTCGTCGCCACCGCCGGATTCGCCTCGAAATTCTGGTCAGAGCGCACCCAGGAAGAGGTCTGGGGAGTAGCGGTATCGGCACCTTTTGGTTTCCACATCCGCGGCTGCCCTCCGTCGCCGCCGTCGTCGGAGTGAAGGACATTGAATACAAGGGCGCCCTCGAGGGCGCGAAGTTATTCGCGCTTCGCGCTTCGCGGTTCGGCCCCGATTCCTCCTCCTCCTCCTCCTCCTCCTCCTCCTTTTCTCCCCTGGGAGAAGGCGCGAGAGCGCGAAGTTCTTCGCACTTCGCGCTTTGCGCAGCGCGAAGCGCGAAGTTGGGTGCCCTCCTTGGACATCGAGTACAGTCGGACCGAGGTAGTTCGAGGGGTCGGGTTCAGAACGAGGTGGCCCCAGGCAGGCCAGACGCTCCGTTGCGGTGTCGGTGCGTGGTGTCACGCGCGTGCGCCCGACAGAGCTGCGCGAGGGCGACGATGCGCCGACGTAGCCAGGGACAGGTTCGTGCAGTCGGACCGAGGCATAAGATCGAGGCATGTCGTGGGATGGCTCGGGGAGGGTATCACAGTGTTCTTCGTGTTCGTTGGATGTTCTCGTGCGTCCTGGGGAGGGTACCCTTGGCTGTTCTGCATGCTTTGGCCAGCGGGGGGCCTCTCACGTTCTTGAGGCATGTTCTTCTGGCCCAGGCCCGACTGTGAGCTACACTGTATGAGCATGAACCTTCGACGGTCCTCGCGGATTTCTTGGGTCTGCGCCGGAGCCCCCTGGCGGCGCTTCCGGTGCCGACTCTGGCGCTCCGCGCTCCAGGGAGGGGGCGCCCAGCGCAGAAATCTGCGCGGGCCCTCGAGAAACCATGCTTGTGTAGTTCTTGTGTTCCTCTACCCAGGGGGGGGGGCATCTCCAACGAGCAGGTCCACGATGCCTCGCCGAGCTGGGGATGGGGGATGTCTACCACCAGGAGGACCCCCTCTGGCGCCTCGCGCTGGTGGTGGTAGTAGTGTCGCTTCTCCTCGTTCCTGCTTCCGTCGCCGTCGCCGCCGGCGTCGCCGTCGCCGCCGCTGTCGCCGCCGCCGCCGCTGCCGCCGCCGTCGCCGCCGTCGCAGCTCGCCGTCTTCGCTGTCGCCCTCGCCGCTGCCCTTCGGAGGGCGCTAACCATACAGATTACGAAGATCCTTGCCAGGCCAATCCTGGGCCCAGGATCGGTGCATATGCCTGCCTGGCCAAGCCAGGGAGAGCGTGTCAGCGGTCGCCGCGGTCGCTATCACCGTGGCCAGCGCGGCCGTCCCGCGCTCGCGGCAGCGCGCGCGTCGGCGCGCCCGTCCAGTCCGATCGGGGTGACGCGGAGGGGCCCAGCACGGCGGCTCTTGCGGACATTTTCTTCGGGGGCGTCCAAGACGGGGATGATGACCTAGGGTTTGTGTGTGTGTGTGTGCGCGTGCGCGCGTGCGCGCGCGTGTGTGTTCGTGTGTGCGTGCGTGCGTGCGTGCGTGTGTGTGTGTGTGTGTGTGTGTGTGTGTGTGTGTGTGTGTGCGTGTGTGCATGTGGGTCGATCCCATGTGGGGGGCTGGTCGCGTGCAAGCGCTCTCTCGGGCCTCGGACAGAGGTTGACTTTCTCCGCCTCGTCGGTGGGCGCGAAGTCGCAATCGCCAACATGTGTGGATGGCATGGCGGCGTGGCGGCCATGATATATTCAGTATCCCTTTGCCGACCCCCATCCCCATGCTCATCCCCTTCGAGACCCCCACCAAGTTACCACCCCAGTCGGGGATGCACCCCTCGAGGCCCGGAGGGAGCGACCTACATCCCCACATAAGGGCGCCCTCGAGGGCGCGAAGTTATTCGCGCTTCGCGCTTCGCGGTTCGGCCCCGATTCCTCCTCCTCCTCCTCCTCCTCTTCTCCCCTGGGAGAAGGCGCGAGAGCGCGAAGTCATTCGCGCTTCGCGCTTCGCGCAGCGCGAAGCGCGAAGTTGGGAGCCCTCCTTGGACATCGAGTACAGTCGGACCGAGGTAGTTCGAGGGGTCGGGTTCAGAACGAGGTGGCCCCAGCCAGGCCAGACGCTCCGTTGCGGTGTCGGTGCGTGGTGTCACGCGCGTGCGCCCGACAGAGCTGCGCGAGGGCGACGATGCGCCGACGTAGCCAGGGACAGGTTCGTGCAGTCGGACCGAGGCATAAGATCGAGGCATGTCCTGGGATGGCTCGGGGAGGGTATCACAGTGTTCTTCGTGTTCGTTGGATGTTCTCGTGCGTCCTGGGGAGGGTACCCTTGGCTGTTCTGCATGCTTTGGCCAGCGGGGGGCCTCTCATGTTCTTGAGGCATGTTCTTCTGGCCCAGGCCCGACTGTGAGCTACACTGTATGAGCATGAACCTTCGACGGTCCTCGCGGATTTCTTGGGTCTGCGCCGGAGCCCCCTGGCGGCGCTTCCGGTGCCGACTCTGGCGCTCCGCGCTCCAGGGAGGGGGCGCCCAGCGCAGAAATCTGCGCGGGCCCTCGAGAAACCATGCTTGTGTAGTTCTTGTGTTCCTGTACCCAGGGGGGGGGGCATCTCCAACGAGCAGGTCCACGATGCCTGTCTCGCCTGTCTCGACGCGTTGCCTGGCTCTCGCCCGGGCCGCGCGCGTGCCTCGAGCCATGCTTTGCGCACCTTCCGCCTGGAGGCCCTGTGCTGGACGCTCCCGCTCAGCCCTGCCGTTTTTTTTTTGGTTGTTGTTTTTTTGTCGTTGTGTGTTGTTGTTGTTGTTGTTGTTGTTGTTGTTGTTGTTGTTGTTGTTGTTGTTGTTGTTGTTGTTGAACATTATTACTTCTAAAGAATAATCATTGTTGGGACCCCTGGTGCACGACCCCCCCGCCGCGCCTAGGCCGCAGCCTCATTTTCATCATTATCGTGAGGAAGTCTCAGGCAAAACGGGGGAGTCCGGATCCGGTTGTGTTGTTACGATCGGTTTTCCCTTGCAAAAAATAAACTAAAGTGGACATTTCTTGTACTAACATAACCAAAATTCAAGAATCCCTTGCAAAAAAAAAAAAAAAAAACAAACAACAAAAAAAAAATAAGGTAAGTGGGACAATTTTCCTCCCCCCGCGAGCCAAGACGAAATCCTTCCAAAAAACCTTAGTTTTCGTAGCGATTTTAACATAAAAACATCAAACAACCAATGGTTTTTTCAAAAAAAAATGTCAAAATTTCATCCCGCGCGCTCTTGCGGATTCGTAGGAAACCCAACACTTTTTAATCATTTCTGTCAAACGGGCTTTTGCGAGCAACTTTTTCGCACTTCTGCAACAACGGTTGCGCACCTGCCAGGGCCATCATCCCTGTCAAATAAACCATGCGGGACACATTCGTTTTTTCTTCGCGCGCGCACGCCGTCGTCGTCGGCCGCGGGGCCCTGAATAGTAGCCACGGTCGTCCGCATGCCACGAAGTGAAAGTGTCCGAGCGTCATAGGGCGGGAAGCTGGGTGTGGGTGGTGGCGAAGAGTCGTTTGGAAATTTGGTAGAGCTTGAACCGGCCCCCCCCACAAAGTGGGGGTATTGCCCGCCTCCTATGAAAACCCTGGCACTGGTGAGAACGGAGTGTCCCCACGTGCTAGTAATTGTTGTTGTTGTTGTTGTTGTTGTTGTTGTTGTGTTGTTGTTGTTGTTGTTGTTGTTGTTGTTGGTGTTGTTGTTGTGTTGTTGTTGTTGTTGTTGGTGTTGGTGTTGTTGTTGTTGTTGTTGTTGTTGTTGTTGTTGTTGTTGAACTCTCATTCTTGAAAATAATTATTGTTGATCACGCCTCACGGGCGCACATTGTTTTTTCAATTGAAGTGCCCCCCCGGGGCTCGCACCCTGTTTTTTGACAGGGCAAATCTTCCTGCTCAAACTGGCCCCCTGGCCCCCGCCCGGGTTACAACAACAACGGCTCCCGCCTGAGATTCCTCGATTTTTACTCGGGACCCCGCCTCCCGCCTGTTTGTTAGTATTCATGTTATGCTTTATCTGGTCTTGTTGGGCGGGGCCCCCTTGTGTACGTGTGACTTTTCCGCGCAATTTACTCAGGAAAAGGCACTCCCGTCTTGAGACTTTCCTCGCAATGTAATCAAGACCCCCGATCCCGCGTGTAGACTTCCATGCGATTTACGTGGAACGGCGCTCCCGCCTGAGACTTCTTCGAATTTTACTCAGGACCCCCGCTCCTGCTTGACATTTCCGCGCAATTGACTCAGGAACGGCGCTCCCGCCTGAGACTTCCTCGCAATTTAGTGAGGACCCCCGCTCCCGCCTGAAACTTCCGTGCAATTTGCTCAGGAACGGCGCTCCCGCTTGAGACTTCCTCGCAACTTAGTCAGGGCCCCGCTTCCGCCTGAGATTTCCTCACAATGTACTCAGGACTGCGCTCTCGCGTGCGACGTCCTCACAAATTATTCTGGAATTGCGTTTCGGCGCTCAGGAACCACGCGCGCGCCAAGGACGCCTTCACAACGTGGTATCTTCCCTCTTCCTTCGTCCTTCCCCCTCCCCTTCCTCCCACTCTCCCTCGTTTTTCCCCTCCTCCTCTTGCAGGGCCCGCGCCAATTCCAATGGCGGGCAGAGAGATGTACGCCCCCGAAGGATTGTCCGCCCGTTCCGGTTTGCCCGTACGTCTAAGCCCGCCGGCCCCAGCAAAGAGAAATAATCCCCCCGAAAGGGGTGTGATCGAAGACGAAGAGGGCGGGTATCGAGGGTGTAGGGTATACGTGGTGAATGACTCGCGGGCAAGTAAGAGCGTACAGCCTTAAAATGGTTGTTGTTGTTGTTGTGAAATTTTATTTATTCTAAAGAATAATTATTGTTGGCCCCCTGGTGCGCGCCCCCCCTGCGCCGCCTAGGCCGCAGCTACATTTTCATCATTTTCGTGAGGAAGCCTCAGAAAAGAGGGTGTGTACAGGATCCGGTTGTTTTGTTGTAATCCGCTTTTCCTTGCAAAAAACAATAGAAAATGACATGTCTTGTTCTAATATAATCAAATTTCAAGAATCCCTTGCAAAAAATAAGGTAAAGTGGACATTCGCGCGCGCAAGACGAAATCCTTCCAAAACCTTAGTGTTCGCAGCGATTTTAACATAAAAACATCCAAAAACCAATGGTTTTTCAACAAAAAATTGTCAAAATCTCATCCCGCGCGCTCTTGCGGATTCGTAGGAAACCCAACACTTTTAAAACATTTCTGTCAAACGGGCTATTGCGAGCAACTTTTTCGAACTTCTGCGACAACGGTTGCGCACCTGCCAGGGCCATCATCCCTGTCAAATAATACCATGCGGGACACATTCGTTTTTCTTCGCGCGCGCACGCCGAAATCTCCAAAAACCATTGGGCTTCTTAAGAATTTTAGCACCGCGCATCATAAAATCACACGAATCGCACCGTAGGTCCTCGAAAAACACCTGCACGACTTTTCAAAATTTCTACCCGCGCGCGCTGTCCTAACAACTTCTGTGGGTGTGTACTCCACGCCAGAGTAGTAGCCACGGTCGTCCGCAGGCCACGAAGTGAAGTGTCCGAACGTCATAGGGCGGGAAGCTGGGTGTGGGTGGTGGCGAAGAGTCGTTTGGAAATTTGGTAGAGCTTGAACCGGCCCCCCCACAAAGTGGGGGTATTGCCCGCCTCCTATGAAAAACCCTGGCACTGGTGAGAACGGAGTGTCCCCACGTGCTAGTAATTGTTGTTGTTGTTGTTGTTGTTGTTGAACATTATTAATTCTAAAGAATAATTATTGTTGGGACCCCTGGTGCACGGCCCCCCTGCGCCGCCTAGGCCGCAGCTACATTTTTCATCATTTTCGTGAGGAAGCCTCAGGTAATACGATGTCATCAAGATCCGGTTGTTTTGTTCCCCCCCGCTGTCCCTTGCAAAAAACACTATAAAATGAAATTTCTTGTTCTAAAATAACCAAACTTCAAGAATCCCTTGCAAAAAATAAGGTAAAGTGGACATTCGCGCGCGCAAGACGAAATCCTTCCAAAACCTTAGTGTTCGTAGCGATTTCAACATAAAAACATAAAAAACAATGTTTTTTTTTTTTTTTTTTTTTTTTTTTTTTTTTTTTTTTTTTTTTTTTTTTTTTTTTTTTTTTTTTTTTTTTTTTTTTTTAAAAAAAAAAAAAAATAAAAAAAAAGTGTCACAATTTCATCCCGCGCGCTCTTGCGGATTTGCAGGAAACCCAACTTTTTTAAACATTTCTGTCAAACGGGCTTTTGCGATCAACTTCTTCACGTGCTTCGAACTTCTCCAACAACGGTTGCGCACCTGCCAGGGCCATCATCCCTGTCAAATAATACCATGCGGGACACATTCGTTTTTTCTTTCCGTGCGCACGCCGAAATCTTCAAAAACCATTGGGTTTCGTAGGAATTTTAGCATCGCGCAACATAAAATCATTTTTCGCACCGTAGGCCCTTCAAATCGTCGTCGTCGTATACTAAGCTAGTTTCCACAAGATGTTACCACAAGAAGTCATTGAAACCATGCGCCAGTGTAGTAGCCACGGTCGTCCGCATGCCACGAAGTGAAGTGTCCGAACGTCATAGGGCGGGAAGCTGGGTGTGGGTGGTGGCGAAGAGTCGTTTGGAAATTTGGTAGAGCTTGAACCGGCCCCCCCACAAAGTGGGGGTATTGCCCGCCTCCTATGAAAACCCTGGCACTGGTGAGAACGGAGTGTCCCCAGTCTTAAATGATTGTTGTTGTTGTTGTTGTTGCTGTTGTTGTTGTTGTTGTTGTTGTTGTGGTTGTTGGTGTTGTTGATGATGATGATGATGATGATGATGAGGTGTTGTTGTTGTTGGTTGTTGTTATTGTTGTTGTTGTTGTTTGTTGTTGTTGCTGCTGCTGCTGCTGCTGTTGTCGTCGTCGTTGTTGTTGTTGTTGTTGTTGGTTGTTGTTTGTTGTTGTGTTTGTTGTTGTTGTTGAACATTATTAATTCTAAAGAATAATTATTGTTGGGCCCCCTGGTGCACGCCCCCCCTGCGCCGCCTAGGCCGCAGCTACATTTTCATCATTTTCGTGAGGAAGCCTCAGGTAAAACGATGTGATCAAGATCCGGTTGTTTTGTTCCCCCCCGCTTTCCCTTGCAAAAAACACTATAAAATGACATTTCTTGTTCTAATATAATCAAATTTCAAGAATCCCTTGCAAAAAATAAGGTAAAGTGGACATTCGCGCGCGCAAGACGAAATCCTTCCAAAAGCTTAGTGTTCGGAGCGATTTTAACATAAAAACATCAAAAAACCAATGGTTTTTCAACAAAAAAATGTCAAAATCTCATCCCGCGCGCTCTTGCGGATTCGTAGGAAACCCAACACTTTTTAAACATTTCTGTCAAACGGGCTTTTGCGAGCAACTTTTCGAACTTCTGCAACAACGGTTGCGCACCTGCCAGGGCCATCATCCCTGTCAAATAATACCATGCGGGACACATTCGTTTTTTCTTCGCGCGCGCACGCCGTCGTCGTCGGCCGCGGGGCCCTGAATAGTAGCCACGGTCGTCCGCATGCCACGAAGTGAAGTGTCCGAACGTCATAGGGCGGGAAGCTGGGTGTGGGTGGTGGCGAAGAGTCGTTTGGAAACTTGGTAGAGCTTGAACCGGCCCCCCCACAAAGTGGGGGTATTGCCCGCCTCCTATGAAAACCCTGGCACTGGTGAGAACGGAGTGTCCCCAGTCTTAAATGATTGTTGTTGTTGTTGTTGTTGTTGTTGTTGTTGTTGTTGTTGTTGTTGTTTGTTTGAACCACACACTATATTCATACACATACATATATACAACCTTGTCTTCTTTGTTTGTTGTTTACCTTCCCTACGGTGATTGGGAGGAAGGTGGAGAGACGATGGCGAGGGAGGGGGAGGAGGTGTGGCGGACGAGGAGGAAGAGGAATGATGAGGAGAGAACGGATATGTTTCGGTGTAGCCCCAGGCTACTGTACAACAGCTGGCGGTTGGGTCAAGTAATTGTAAACGCCATCGGGCGGTGATACACACGTTTGTACTTTGGCGTTGACCGCTTAGCAGGGGAGTGAGGTTATGGCAACGAGAGCGGGTGCAGCGAGACCTACCTCACGTCAAAACTGGGCACAGTACAATCTCGCAAACTTCAGACTTACCTGTCTTACCGCGTGCAACCAAGGTGGCCACGAGCTCGTCAAAGCTGGCCTGCAGGCCAGCCATGGCGCACTCCGTGGACACGCTAACGGCAAGGTGAAGGTAACGGCGATGTAGGTTCCGGCATCGTACAGTCGGGGCGCTGAAGAAGGAACCCTTCTCGTTGGGGCGGGGCTCCGTGTTCCTTCATCGTTTTACAGCTTGCCTGAGGTTCTCCTTGGGTTTTCGATGGGAAATCAGAGTTAGACTTTGGAAAAGTGGGGCCCCCGTTCCTTATTTGTGGTTCCTTAGGTCGACGCCCCGACTGTAGGTGAGGCTGGCTCGTGTCCAACCCAACTGCACGAAGAGCGGCCTGTTCGCGCTGTTCCGCAGTTTGCTCTGCGCGCGTGGGGTGTCGCAGCATCCGGGGCTCTCAGCATCGCCGTTCGCCTGCGGCGCCGTGGGCGTGGCCTTTGGGCGGTGGCTACCGCTTCTTCGTCCCGCATCGCCTTTTTTTGACGACCCCGAAGCCCGGCGAGGGCCCCCCGAGGCCGAAACTAGCCAAACCTCTCCCGCCCCGAGTTTCTTATTGTCGGGGCCTTGAGAAGAAGGAACGCTTTTCGTTGGGGAGGGGCTCGGTGTTCCTTGACTGTTGTACAGTTTGCCTCGTGTTTCCCTTAGGTTTTTGTATGGGAAATCGAAGTTCAACTTATGGAAAAGAGGGGCCTCGTTCCTTATTTAGGGTTCCTTAGGTCAACGCCCCGACTGTACGACGCGATCATGCCTGGGGATGCTCCTCGGGCGCTCGGCCGGGGCCCGGCCGCGCCGTGCTACCGTGGGCTGCAGGCCTTCGCGGCTGCGGGATCCCTCCGGCGTCCGCTCTCCTTCCTCTCCCCTCGGCGCACGTGGGCCGGACGCCCTCGCGCGCCGCCGTGGCCTGACGTGGCCTGGCGCGGCCCGTCCCGCCCCTCCCTCGCGCCCTCGCTCCTCTCAGGAGGAAAAAAAATGCACACACCGAGACACAATGAATCGTCGGTTCCCCAGAAGATGATGGGAACTATGGCATATATGGGAAGTGGGGCGGCAGACGAAAGCCCAGAAAATATGTGCAGATCTGGGGACTCCTCTTATTTGTGTCTCTTCATTTGTGTGTCCCAGGGCCCCTGCATCCTCGGCGAACGTCGGCCTGACGACCTCGCGTGCGCCGGCGTAGCCTGACCTGACCCGTGCCGCGCCTCCCTCTCCTGCGCGCTCGCTCGCTCGCGCGCCCCTCTCCTGACCTCCTCGCCCGCCCCTCCCGCTCCTCCTCGCTCGCCCTCGCTGCTCGCTCGCTCCCGACCCGACTCGTCCCTCTCCTGCTCACTTGCTCGCTCCCCCCCCCATCCCTGTGGCGCCACTGGCGCGCCAGCCTCCCGCCGCGGAGGCCGAGCCGGTGCTGAGGCCGCCGAAGCTGCTCCTGCGCGGCGAGATGCGGTGAAAGAGGGCACTCTGCGGCGAGCTGGTGGTGTTGGTGGTGGTGGTGGTGGTGAGGGCGACGGCGGCGACGCGATCGTGGTGGTGATGGTGACGAGGGGGGTGATGGGTAATGCTGATGATCTTGCAGACGGTGGTGATTCT